ACACCCGCGTCTGGGTTAAAAAAAAAAAACCACAACAAAACCCACATAGAAAAACAATCAACAGTTTGTTGTCACAAAGAAGTTAAAACTCCAGAGTATCTTGTTTCTCGGTAGTCCGAGAGAAAAAGCTTTTCTGAAGCCTGCTGTGCCTCTGACACTGGCGTTCATGTCAATGAAAATGTCCAAGTCGCTGAAACTCAGTAAAAACTGTGTCTAAAGTGACAGCTCCAAGCTCCTAAGGTATTGCTAAATAACCTAAAGGAAACCTGAAGGCTAGTATTTTTGTTCGCTTAATTATAGTTCTCCATTTCATTTCTTAAGGAACCTCGCTCTCTTTGTTCAAAAATAAATGAACATTGCAGGTCTGAGATAGTATCTATTCTGCTATGTTTTTGTAAATCTGCTGTGTTCTCTTGATATAACTGCACAGTAAACTACCAAGGTATACTTAAATTTTGCTAGAAGCCCCATCACGTAAGGGTTTTGGTTTTGGTCTCATTTTCCAGCAGAGCAAAGAAAACCCCACCTATCTGTGCACCTGGCTGTGTGTTTATCCCCAGTGGCACAGTAGCTCTTCCAGGTGGAAACAGAAGCTGCATACAGGTGTGACCTGTGTATTAAAATAAAAGGTCAAGGCCCAACACTGGTTGTTGGAGTCAGGAGTAAAGGTTGGCAGAAGGCAGGTGAGTTAAATTAAGCAGAAATGTAGATGTTCACTGAAGTGGGAACAGTAGTAAAATAATTTGGAACCCAGCCTTGCAAACAGATCTGTGGTGACAACCCTTACCACCATGGAGACCATCTTGAAACAGATTCCTTGCCTCTTAGAGCAGAGGTTTAAACACGCATCTAGACCTGTACACAAGTCAAATCTATATGTATAAATGTGGTTTCTGACAACTTTTTTTCTCTTTAAGCATTTGGATTTTGCAGTGATGCTTTTCAAGCACTTGTCTAAGTCTTCAACTAAACAGACGGTTTTGTGAGAAACAAAATTAATAATCCTGGTTACCAGTGGATTGGTGCCCTTTATCCCATAAACTTCATTCTGCTGCAGCAGTGTGACTCCTTGGCATGTTTGCTGTGATAAGCCTTCTGGATGAGAAATGTTAAATGTCATGGTCTGCACAGAGCTACCCCTCAGCTCTTTGCTTGGGAGCAGGCAGCTAGCCAAAATGCATTCAGCATGCTTTTCCCCCACCGAGGCACATGGATAGACAGATTCCTGTCACCTTCCTAGGAGCTGATCTGCAGGAAATTTGTAGGAATTGAACAGCTGAAAAAAACCCAGCTGCATCACTTTGCTGAACTGGTCCCCAGGTTAAACTTCCCTGGGAAGGAGTCAGAGAGGAAGGGGAGAAGGGAAGGAAAAGAATTGGACTGATACATGATTACATGGTCCAAGTCTCATTTCTTTAGGAGACAAGCTAGACATATGTGGCCTATAGTAAAAGCCTGAATTAAAGCTGATGGTTTTACATGCCCTGATGCTATAGAATCTACAGGCATTCCAGTAATGTCACATGTTCTTTCATCTTCTCCCCAGGAGAAGCAGGTGTAGTTTGTGTCTCATTGCAGTAAGATTTATGTGTGTGTATGATTGCAGGGGATTTAATTGATATTCTGTGCATAGAGTTTTGATCAACCATGTACACTCCAGAAGTCAACATCAAGGAAAAATGAGGAAGGTCTGGAGTACCCTCTCTCCCCGCAGTTCATTCCACAGAGAAGACAGACACCTGAGACTATTTCTCTTGAAGAACTCGTTTTACCCTTTGGATATCCTGGCCATGTCTCATGTATCACCTCAAGAAAAATACCAAGAACTAGAATTTGATCTGAAATTCTGTGAGAGGCGAGTGTATAGAACAGAGGGTGGTTTTGTTGTTCTTACCATGCCGGTTGGCCAAGGTAGCACAAGTCAGAATTCAGCTGGAATTTTCTAATTGCTGAAACTGTCCTGTTCAGGTGTAGCTCACAGCTCCAGTCCTGCCCTGCAAGAACTCAGGTTTGGGTATCCAGCGATCAACAACTTCACAAGAATGGGAACGAGCGTTCTTGCCAGCAGGATGTGATAGAAAACAGACATGATGTTGGTACAGTATAGAGAAAAGCTGACTAGAAAGTGATGTTTTCACTGAGCAAAAATTGAGCTATGATCTTGCAGACACTTGCACATGTGGCTTTGTTTACTTCCATGTGTTGCTGCACTTGCAGTTAATCCAGATGGCCAGTGATTAAACACAAATGCATGCACAAGCCCGAAATAGTTTAATACTTTCAGAACTGACTATGTCTACATGCAGATTTTTGTTATTTTGGGCAGTTAGATGCTAATAAGAGAGATTAAAAATACAACACAAATGGGAACCATACTTTACAGAAAGAGCTTTCTGTAAGGAGCTGGGAGGGAATCTGAGATTATGTATCACAGGCCAGTTTGGATGGGAAGACACTGTGCTAGGAGTGCTATGCATATAGAAATGAGATCCCTTCTATGTACCATGTGTAATTTAAAGACACGAATAAAGAGTCAGAGAAGTATAACATATAAACAAGTAAGCCCGGTGGGTGTTTGTTATTTATAGTGAGTGGAAGAAGAAAGGGCATTGGATATGTGCTTTTCATTGGCCAGAAACAGGAAATACATTCAACTTTTATTCAAGCTTTTTGCATTACAGGGACAGTAAATTATAGAACATTGCACTCCTGAGTGTTTCCTACCAAAAGAGTAAATTGTCAGTGTTCACGAAGTTGCATGTGCCTCCATAAATATATATTCAGCAGGGGTACATGCCTTATCATTTAAGGTTATACTTTAAAACATTTCATTAGAGAGATGTGCTTGCTGGCAGCCTGCTGCATTTATTATATTAAAAAAGAAGAAAAAAACCCCTCAAATTTATGTATGATATATCCTTTATTGTTTTTGTAAAATGAAGGTGCTAGTCATACTAAGTCACACAAGCACTCCTTCAGGCTCCCCATGCAGCAAACGCAATGGAAAACAGTTAACTATCTGAGGTAAAATTCTGGTCCCATTGAACTTAGTAAATTATTTTGCCTAGGGGATCACAAATCCACATGACTATTTTTAGGCCTGATAATGGCAGGGAAATGGAAGATGATGCTGAAACACTCCTCTGCCTGATCTACTGCTTAGGAGATATGAACTCTTAGTGTTCACAGGTGATGGTAGTCATTGAATGCCTTATTATTCCACTGAGCAGAGCTGCTGGCTTTGGAAGAGAAGGTGGCCTCCTGGAGTTTTTGCTTCAGTATTTTGTCTTCCTCAGAGAAGGTAACAGAGAATGACATCTTCAGCAGCCTTGACACAACCTAATTATAGCAAAAAATGCACTAAGAGGAGCACTTACAGTCCAAAATGAACTGTAAGCCTCTTGCTCATCACCTTGTCCTGTGGTGCTTTTATCTGGAAACGATTACAGCACAGCTTCTTCTTTGAGGTGTGCCACCAAACTCCGTATTTACATGTTTCCACTTTCTTTTTGTCCAAATGGATGAGAACAGAGCTTCCGCTCCCTTGAAACAGTAGAACAGTAACATCTTCTCAAATACCACTGGAAAAGTTTTAGCAATTTATCCCATGTTTTGGCAGTGGAAGGACAGAATGGCATTTTGGAGAGGGGTGGCTGGCAGTGATCTTTCCATACCATAGAACACTCACTGAGAGATGTTGTGGAGTCTCCTTCTCTGGAAACATTCAAAGCCCACCTGGATGCGTTCCTGTGCGATCTGATCTAGGTGTTCCTGCTCCAGCAGGGGGATTGGACTAGATGATCTTTCAAGGTCCCTTCCAACCTCTAACATTCTGTGATTCTGTGGAGTCCAGGCCTGTTGCACTGGCACCATGTGTTCTAAAGAAATGTAAGGCCAGATAATGAATACTACTTTTTCACACAATTTATGTTGCATCATCCCTTCAAGACCCACAACAGAGCGACTGCATTTTCTTCACTGGTTTCCATCATTTTGCAACTCCAGCTTCATAAGCTGGTCCTCAAACTTTTCAATGTCTACTTGATGCTTCATTAGGAACTTCCCATTTAAATGAAAAACAGGTATGTCATATTTATATTTATCATACCATGCTAAGTTCTCTGGAAGGGTAATATCCACCTCCTGCAAAATAAACTGTGACAGAAATTAAACACGTTAGTACCTACTGGACACTGAAAAACAATACCTGCTTGTCTTTTGATCAATATTTTTTTCCATAAGTGCAAGGATGTTTCTTGGTGCTTTTGGATTTATTCTTCCATGTTGTAGCCAATTAGCTATTTTGTGGGTGCAAAATGTATGCATCCACAATCCTTGGTTCCATGTCCACAAAAGACTCTCTCCCTAGTCCAGGATGACATTCTTGATCCTCTGTGCACCATCACTCTCCTATGAGCAACAGCCACAACAAATATGCAGCTGGCAATACAACAGCTGCCTGTTAGGCAGCAGAGAGCGACACCTCTTGATGCTTCCGTTACAGTTTCTTCCTTCAAGAAAGAGATCAAAACCTGACTGAAGAACGGCAAGAATTGCAATCACATATAGTTCAAACATTTGACGTCCCACTTACTAACATCCTTCCCAAATGATATCATTACCTGCCTCATAAAAGTTTGTCGTGGGTTAAAGACTGCTTAAAGTTAACTCTGTGAGGTTTTTTTTTCTCCTTCTTCATAAATAGCTAGCGAGAAGCTGTGTTTTGGATTTACGCTCAGAGGAGCTGATAAGAGAATAATGTTTTGTTCTGCTGCCAAGGTCAGCAGATGAGCAAAGAGGCACAGCCGGTTGCTAGCATAGGATTTGCCCCTATGTTAAGACAAACTCAGAATAGCCAACGATTTATTCCGTAACATGCACGTCATTCC